GGGTCGGTGCGGAGCGTGGTGGGGAGGTGGGAGTGGGTGCAGGGCCGAGCAGCGGGAATGCAGCACACAGGCACTTTGTTTGGCCAGGGTGGGCGGAAGTCAGGGCGTTAGATCTGAATGCTAAAGTGTGTTGTTCATGGGCCAATAAAGGCCCCATTGTATGTAAATAGTTTATAAAGCAGCATATGACTTCCAGTGCAGGGCAGTGGCAGAGAGAGACGAGGGCAGGCGGAGCAGAGCTCTCCTGCGGGAGGCATGAAACCTTAGAGGGGCCACTGGGGGCAGCTTGCGAGGACCCTTCCTCACCGGCAGGTACGCGTCGCCAGGATCCTCCGCACTGGGGGGTGGCTGGTCCCGGCCGCCCAGACTCCTGCAGGGGTGGGAAGCAGCTCCCGGGGTGCTCAGTGCCCGTGGGTGGCTCTGGTGGGGTCGGGGTCTGTGCCTGGGGTGGGGTCGCCCAGACAAGGATGGCCCTGGGAGGGTGGCAGTGCAGGGCTGCACGGGGGGATCCCCCCAGCTCAGGGCTCCGTGGCCATGCTCCTGCAGATAATGGGAGAACAAAGGGAGGCACTGGTGCAGTGGAGCCCATGAAGCTCCTTGGGACCATTCCTAGCCAAAGAGCTCAGCTCTGGGTACTGGGGGTCCCTGAGAAGGTGTGGGAGCTTCATCCCCATTCTCTGTGCCAGCTGTGAGTTAGGATCCCTGTGCCAGCGTGGGGTGGCAGGACTGGAGAATCTGGCACTGCTGGGGCAACCAGTCTCCTGCCTGCTCTGGCCAAAATGCTGCCTGGAGCCGTATCAGGAGCAGGAGCCACGCTGCCATCCTCCTGTCTGTCGATCCTACTCTCCACCCACCAGGGCTGCCACCCAGTTGCTCCCAGGTCCCTCCTGGGGCTGCTGCAACCGGAGCCCGGACCTGCTGGCTCTCAGCCAGGGGTCCTTCCTGCTGCTAACACCATCCCTCACCGCTCTCTCCTGCAGACGTGAGAAACGATGAATTGGGCTGGGCTGTACACGGTGCTGAGCGGGGTGAACCGCCACTCCACTGCCATCGGGCGCATCTGGCTCTCTGTCATCTTCATCTTCCGGATAATGGTGTTAGTGGTGGCAGCCGAGAGCGTCTGGGGGGACGAGAAATCCGCCTTCACCTGCAACACCCAGCAGCCTGGCTGCAACAGCGTCTGCTATGACCACTTCTTCCCCATCTCCCACATCCGTCTGTGGGCGCTGCAGCTCATCCTCGTCACCACGCCAGCCCTTCTCGTGGCCATGCATGTGGCCTACCAGCAGCACCAGGAGAAGAAGCTGCTGGTGATGACCGGGCACGCGGATGCCAAGCACATGGAAGAGGTCAAGAAGCACAAGATGCGCATAGCGGGATCGCTGTGGTGGACCTATGTCTGCAGCGTGGTCTTCAGGCTGCTCTTCGAGGCCGTGTTCATGTACATCTTCTACATGCTCTACCCAGGCTACCAGATGATGCGGCTGGTAAAGTGCGAGGCTTACCCCTGCCCCAACACTGTCGACTGCTTCATCTCCCGGCCCACGGAGAAGACCATCTTCACTGTCTTCATGCTGGTCACCTCCAGCGTCTGCATCATCCTCAACATGGCAGAGCTGGTGTACCTGGTGGTGCGGGCCTGCGCCCGCCGAAGCCAGCACCACTCCAACCCCTCGTCGGGGAAGAGCTCCTTCTATGGGCACAAGCATTCCTCTGAGTACAAGCAGAACGAGATCAACCAGCTGCTGACAGAGCAGGACGGTTCCCTCAAGGACATGCTGCGCCGCAACTCTGGGCTGCAGGAGAAGGGTGACCGCTGCTCTGCCTGCTAGGGGCAGGGGCCACTGGCCCCACAGTCACCCCATGGGCCTGTTACTGTCCCTGTCCCAAGGATAGCATCCCTCAGGCATGAGTTTGGCTCTCCTCAATGGCCAGGAGGGCATCTTGGGCCATTAAATCTCCATTCTCAGGTGCTGCCTCCCTCCTTTCTGCTCTGGCCGTGATATGCTGGGAGCTGGGGTGCCAGTGTGGGGTGTCCATCCCTGCACCCAAGCCCTGGTGGGTGCCACGAGGGGCTGTGGGGGCTGCAGTGCCAGGGCTGAGCTGGGGCTGTGGCTGTGTTGCCCTGACAGCCAGCAGCGGCCAGTGACCCCTGGGTGGCATTGATCAGTGTCCAAGGGCTTGCACTCCCCCAGCACCAGCCCCTGCAGCCCCGAATATAATTAGAAAAGTGCCCAGACCAAAAATAGAGGGAAAAAGTTTCCCCAGTGGCTGTTTGATGTGCCAGTCACAAGGAAAGCCAATGGGGCACGCAGCTGCCTCATGCCCCAATAACCCCATGCCTGCTGTTGGGTGAGCGGACAGACGGAGCAGGCAGACCGGTCTGCACCCCACAGAGGATCTGGGGACCGGCTGGGAAGGGGCCTCGCAGCATCCCCCATCGCCCCCGTGACAGGAGGGGACAGCGTGGGAGCACCGGGCTCTGCCCCACACATCATCTACGGTGAGAGGTCCCCATGCTGCCACCGTGGCTGTTCCAGCTCTCTGCTGGAGGCCTTTGCTCCCCCTGCTCTCCTTGTGACAGGTTAGGGGGTCCCCTGGGACGCAGGATGGGGACACTCTAGGACAGCCTTGGGTTGGGTCTGTGCACACCTGCTTGGCCAGGGAGTGGGGCGGTGTTTTGGCGGGTTGTGGGGCGGCTGTGTCTGGAGGGTGGCTGTCTTGCAGGGCACCACAGCACGTGCCATGGGGGACTGGAGCCTGCTGGGCCGGCTGCTGGAGAATGCCCAGGAGCACTCCACGGTGGTGGGGAAGGTCTGGCTCACCGTCCTCTTCGTCTTCCGCATCCTGGTGCTGGGGGCAGCCGCGGAGCGAGTCTGGGGTGACGAGCTGTCTGGCTTCTCCTGTGATACGCAGCAGCCCGGCTGCCAAAATGCCTGCTATGACAGCACCTTCCCCATCTCCCACCTCCGCTTCTGGGTCCTGCAGATCATCTTTGTCTCCACCCCCAGCCTTGTGTATCTGGGGCACATCCTGCACCTGGTGCATCTGGAGGAGAAGGCACAGCAGCAAGCGGCAGCGCGGGCCGGCAGCGGGGCCAGGCGGCAGCGCCCCAGGCAGCCCCAGCTCCCTGCAGGGAGCACCAGGGCACGGCTGTGCATGCGGGGGGCCATCCTGAGGACCTACATCTGCAACATCGTCTTCAAGGCTCTGCTGGAAGTGGCCTTCATTGTGGGCCAGTACGCCTTGTATGGGTTCCAGCTGAAGCCCCTCTACACCTGCAGCCGCTGGCCCTGCCCCAACACGGTCAACTGCTACATCTCCCGGCCCACTGAGAAGACCATCTTCATCCTCTTCATGCTGGGGGTGGCCTGCGTGTCCCTGCTGCTCAACCTGGTGGAGATCTACCACCTGGGTCTCACCAAGTGCCGTCGGGGGCCAGGCCCCAAGTCCCGCATCCTGACCGCTCCTGGCGGGCCTGTAGGGCCTGGCAGCACCTATGTCACTCTGCCCAGGGGTGGCAGCCCCCCCCATGGCCTGGCACCGCTGAAGAAGGCAGGTGCATGGTTAGGGGTGGCTGGTGGGTCCCACAGAGATGTGCGAACGGCAGACCTGGCAGTGTAAATGTGGCCTGCTGGGCTGGTCAGGGATGGGCAATGTGTGGGTGGTCACTGTGGTGATTGTCTCTCCAGTCGCTGCCAGGCCCAAGGCATGGAGAGCTGGGAACAGCCTTGGGGACACTGCTCAGCTGCTCCTGGCACTCCTGGGAGCAGCAGGGCTGAGAGTAGAGCTTGGAAGGGGGAGAAAATAAACACTTACTGCACCTCACTTGACTCCTGCTCTGCTCCCAGGCTCTGTGGCATTGCTCTCCAGCTGCTTCATCCTACGGTCACACTGCATGGCCAGGGCAGGGCCACTGCTGGCTTGGGTGGGGCTGCACACTATGGGCACAGGGCAGGGACAGGCAGGGCATGCCATGCTGGCACCAGTGGGCACTGGGGCAGAGGCCATCACCACATTGCAGAGCTGGCAGGACAGCAGGGCCCAGGCAAGGTAAAAAGTGCAGGGAGTTCAGGCTGGGATGGACAGGTGCAAGGTGCACAGCAGCACGGGGACATTGGCCCTGTTCTCCTACAACGCTCACCCTGCCCAGGGGGAAAAACCAGGGGCTGCCAAAGTTTTCCACATCTTTATTTGAAATGAATGGTTTCCAGAGACACAGGGTTAGTCCTACTGCCCTGGCATCACTACAACAAGACTGGTGAGCAGCTCACTCTCCACATGGACACAGAGAACAGATGGCCCCAGGCCAGGGCCCAGAACAATATATACAGGCTCAACAGGAGACCCATGTACAGCTCAAGAAAACCGACCAGAACACGAGAAGGGGCAGGAGGCAGCACGGAGTGGCACAGCTGGAGCCAGACTTGCCCTGGGCAGGGTAGTGGCAGCCTGTGGCTGTGGGAGGGAGGGGGAGGCCAGGCAGGGCTCCCTGCTTCTGCAAGCAAATGCCTGGGCCCCTGGCTGGAGCAGAGGTTTCCACTGATGGCACCTTGCATGGGGGAGGGTCCTTACACCAAGACAGGGAACACTGGGGAGAGAGGGGCAGCACTAGTACAGACCCATCTCCATCAGTTTTCAGCAGACTCAGAAAACACTGACCAAAGAGAGGGAGGCATCCTGGCTGCACACAAGGGAGGTATCCCTGTGGCAAGGCCAGATCTCTGCCCACAAATTCCAGTGCGAGCTCCATCCACTCCCTGCAACCAACCCAAATCTCTCCCACCTCGAGACAAAAGTTCTCCCCCTGACCCAACAGCTCTCAGGCTGCCTGTGGCCCATGCCCACTGACTTGAAAATACAATCCTGCCCCAGCAGCAGAGCTACTGTTACTGCCTTGATGCCTCCAGCCTTGTGAGGGAATGCTAAAGGAAGAGGGAAGTAAAAGCTTTGGGAGCCACTGGTCCAATGGGGCAATGTGTTTTGTGCAATTCCTGCCCTGGGGCACAGGGAGAGAGGGGCAGTGGCAGGGCTGGGGTAGGGGAGGGACAGGGCTGGGCAAGGGGAGCTGCACCAGGGACTCTGCCACTCCTGTGCCATAGGAACAGACCCTGGGGAAGATGGCTCACCCAGCAGCCAGAACTGGAGACAGAGCTGAGTGTGGGGGCCACGCACGTAGGGGATGCCTGTAACGAGCAGGATGGGAGGTCCAGGTCTGGTAATGATGCAGGGACAGCACTGCTGCAGCACCCTCCCTTCCTATGCTGCACGGCCCCTGCCCTGCAATGGGAAGCAGCAAGATGAGGTGTCCAGGGCTGGAGTGCAGCCAGTCCAGCAGCACCTCTGCCTTAGTCCACGTCGTCCTCCAGGTTGCTGAGGCGGCTGTGCTCCTCGTAGATCTCCCTGACGGCCAGGATGCGGTTCAGCATGCTCTCCAGCATGCTACGGTCCATGGGGATCACCGAGTACCAGAGCGGGGACTCGGCGATGCACGAGCGCTCGGGCTGCAGGTAGAACACATCGCTGCGGTTCCGCAGGCTCTCGGGACTGTGGAGAGACAGCAGGGTGAGACCTGGGCTGCAGCTCCCTGCAGGGGCTCAGACAGCCCGGCCTGATGTGTTTAGCAAGGGGTGTCCACAGCTCGTCACAGCCTCTCATCATTCAGTAGGGTAAGGATACAAACTCAGCCTACAGCTCCTTGTTCAAGGCCAAAAGCCCCAACCACCCAAGCGCTGGACTCTACTGCACATTCCTGCCAGTCTGGAGAAGGGCAGGAAGTGGAAAAGGCCAGAGAGAAGCATTCTCTCAAACTTGGTCTAGTGAAGCAGCACAGAGCCTGGGCAAGACTGCATGCTCTGTACAAATATATGGAGAGCAGCAGGCACACCGGGTTCCATCAAAACTAAGAAGTAGCCCCAAAATGGCACATGCCTCTTCTCCAGAGAAAGCCTCACCATTTGGAGAGATAAAACTCGTAAAACTTGACTGGGCATCGGAGGGGATTCATCCTGTTCTCCCGCTGCTCCAGCATCGGAACCTCCTCCTCACGCTTCCGTTTTCCAGAGCCGCCATCTGCAGAGAGGGAGAGAGCTGGATCATGGCTGGGTCCTGGTGGGGAATGCAGGGGGAGGAACAGAGACGTTCCCCCAGACCCACCTCGGCTTTTCTTCTGCTTGGCAGGAGCGTAGTAGCGGATGCTCACCACCTTGGTCATGCCACGGGCTGTGGTGCACTTGCGGGACTGGCGCACCACGTTGGTGAAGGAGAGCTGCATGTGCTCCTCTGCTGTTTGCAGCCCAAAGAACTTGGTGTTGAAGAACATGAGGGTGTTGAGCAGCACAAAGGGTGAGTAAACACCCAGCTGTTTGCACTCCCAGAGGTGCTCCTCCTCGACACGGGAGAAAACTGTGTCTGCAACACACAGAGGGAGAACCAGGTCACATCAGCAGTGGCTTTGTGGCAATCCCTTCACCCTGCCTCTGCAAAAGACTGATGCTTTACAGCATCTCTTTTTCCACAAGGTTCTTCTCAGCTAGAGCTCTGCCCAGCCATAAGCCTCCCCAGATCACAGCCAAACCACAGGTGAGAACCCAAATCAATCCTAACTGCTCATCACTACAGATGGCCAAAAAGTGAACTCCAGGTCGGTGCTCCACCACACTCAGTGAGAGATTAGGGAAAAGCAGCAGGCAGGAGAGATCTGGCCAGCTCCTGCCTAGATACACAGGTCTGGAGTCAAATGGCTCTGCCTGGGATAGCCGATCTGCAGAGATGAGGCTGGATCTGTGAAATAACTACTGACAAGACACAGCAGGGAAGGCAGCCCAGATCACAGCAACAAGAAAAGCCTCTGCAGAGCTCTAGGTTAGCCAATTCACAAGGCAGCAGCACAGCAACCTTGGCCGAGGCCTAGCACCATGTGCAGGGCTCATCCATGTGCTGAGAACACAAGCACAAGCACCAGTGTGCCTCCTGGCTTGGCATCCTCTGTGCCAAAGGGTGGAGACATCACTGTGAAGTGTTGTAAAGATTCAAATTGTCCCAAGATACAAAGTACAGGTGCTCTGCTCTCAGCTACCCTGTGGGCAACAGAAGCACAAACCACGCTGTCTCTGCAGTTGGTTTGGGTCAGTGTGACCTCAACACACAGCAGAACTGTGCTGCCTAAGCCAAGGTTGAAGCTGGGGGAGCACAATCAGGCTACAAGCACAAACTGGATTTATGGGGACTGAAGGTACTCTGAAGACACATACTATTTGGTAAGATTGTGGGTTGCCAGCCACTCAGGGATTTGTTCAGCTCCTGCACGAAGGTCAGGTAGTAAAGGTCTGTAAATATATTCACCATACGATTGTTCTCGAGCAGGTACTAGAAAGGACAGAACACACAGTCAAGAGAAACACAGCAGCACCTGGAATGCAAACCCTCCCCAGAGAGCACAGAGCACATATGCAGAGCACCCCTCCCTGCACCACCAGAGCTGCTGGGCAGACACAGAGAGCTGCAAAGAAAACCCTGGGGCATGACAAAGCAGACTTAGGGCTGAAGAAGGGCCTGAGTTTGGGGAGATCCCTCAGTCCTCCTCAGAGATGTGCAAGAAGGGTGCAAGGCTGGGGAATAGATGCCACCCTACTCTGAGCTTGGGAGCAAAGACGAAACCAGGTGGGATGCTGTCCTGGGCTGAGGCACTAAAGGAGAATCCAGCCAGCCTCTCTGGGTCCCCAGAAGGCAGAATGAAGGGTACAGGCTTCCTTCACCAGATCTGAGCCCAGTCTGGCTGTAGAGGATGAGGGCACAGGCCCCCCTCACCTGCTGGATGCCAAGGCAGAGGTAATAGATGCTGTCTGGTTCATAGCGCTCCCCGTTGGGCCGCGTTATCTCCTTTACAAACTGTGCCAGGCCGTAGTTGAGCTCAGCTGCTGAGCAGGCTAAGATGTCCTCCTTGATCCTCATGGGCTTGGCTGCAGAGATAAGAACAGCAGCCTCAGACAACAACCTACAAGGTCAACACCCCAAGGTGCAGCTTCTGGGAGGTTTCTGCCCCTGCACTGCATCACACAAGGCACTTACGGCCGAAGCGTAGCTCCTCTCCCTTGCTGCTTTCTCCCCCTGCGTACTTGGCTTGTACCCAGGACTTCCAGGCATTCACACCATAGGAGTAGTTGAGCACTGTACAGCTGGGCTGGCTGCTCATGGAGTCCCGGGAGCAGCTCTCAGAGAGCACCAGGCGCTTCTGCCCCTGCAGAGAGGTGTTTGTGAGACTGGGCACCCACCTGGCACAGGTGCAGGACTCCTGGCCACCCTCACACCTGCTGACTGCCAGCTCCCTACAGTGTGCCATGGCAGCAGGCACCGTTCTGCTGGCAGCCAAGCCAACAAAGCTCATTAGTTACAAGGGTCACAGGCAAGAAAGAGACCAGCTTGCTGTCACATGATTTGTAGCATTCAAAGCTCCTCCAAAGTGACAAGCAAGTATTTTCATTCAAGGAGAGGCCTGCAGGCCAACCATGCCCTGAAAGGAGAAGGCACAACCTCCCCAGCACACCAAAGACTCTGGTACACTTCATGTCTTACAGCCCAGGTGGCAGCTCCCACTCCAAACCCAAAGGGCTTTAAGCAGGCAGTACCCACAGAGAACTCCTCACCTTCCGCACAGCTCGAGGCAGGTCCTGCTCTGTGGACACCTCATCTGGTCCCACCAGCCCACAGTCAAAGAGGAAATCCACACTGGGGTTGATGTCCAGAGGGTCTGAAAGGAAACACAGGCAGAAGGGCTCAGCTGAGACTTCTCATCCTGCCCCCTGTGCTGGCCTGATTTTTACAGCAAAGTGAAGAGGGAACACTTCACATCCTCTACCACTGCCTGGCATGAACTTTTAGCCACAGCCCAAGAAAGGAAATAAGGCTCTGGCAGACAATGCTAAAATTTCTTAGAATAACCAGAACCCCACATTTTTATCTCTGACAGTTTTTTGTTTATTTTTTAAACCTGAGGAACATTCCTCATTCCCTGGTGTCAGGCCAGTACTGTGGACAGCCTGGCACAGGCAGTTCAATTCTGTTGTTTGCTGCATTGCTGTGCTCGTTCAAGTCCTTGCCTCTTCTTCCACCTTCTGTTAACAGATACTCAGCAATTCTGCCATTTCTCAGGATGCCATGCCTTGTCCAGGTTTCTCATCTAGCTCGATCCTCTGGAATCATCACTCATAAACACACCAGTGCTGCTGCCCTGCTCTTTGTGCTGTTCAAATCAGCTTCTCATCCCCCAGTCTCTGGGTCTTGTGTTCACAACAGGTAAGTTTAGTCTGCAGAAGTGGTGGTCTCCCCACCCCTGCTGCAAGCAGTCACTGCAGGGCTCTCCCACCAGGTCAATCAGAGGGCACAGGGAGGTGAGTGCTCACAGCTGAGGGCAGTGGGAGCTCCCTCAGCAGCCCTGAGGCTGACAACCTTAGACAACCTTAGACAACCTTAGGGTGTCACCCAGCTCTTACTCTTAGGGAAGTCAGCCTCCAGGTCCTGGCCCGGCTCATCGAGGACATTTGCCATCTTGACAGCCATGGCCAACACATCGTCCCGTGCTGGTCCAAACAGATCACAGTCCTCCAGGAGGCCCTCTGCACTTTGGTTACTCACCAGGTCTGAAAGGAAAAAGTTCATCAGAAACAAAACTTTCTTGAAAATCTTTTGTCTGATTTCCCTGTGATAACTGGAAAACGAAGTCAGAATTTGGATGCTCAGAGCAGCCCCATGACACTTGAGCTATCCAGCTTTCCCTGGACAGAAAAACATTGGAAGGTTGTTGTCTCCCCAGCCACAACCCCATCACTGCCATTTGCAGGAATGCAGGCCCCAAGTAAAGAAACCTACAAGACTAAGGCTGCATGCAGCTACCTTTTGTAGCGTGGAAGCTGCTTTAGGGAAGAATCTGTAGAGCCACCTGCATAAACTGAGAGAGCTGCACATGTGCCACAAGACTGGCACCCCCAAAAGGGACAGTGGCAGACAACGATCCCTGCTGCAGCTCTTCCCTTCTGGTACCTCCTCAGCAGAAGTTAAGGACTTGCTCTTCCCTGCTTCCTCTCCAAAGGCTTTGGGAGAGCCACAATCCCAGCAGATGCTTTAGCTCCAAGAGCTGGCAAACCCCCCTTGATTCCAGCTGTTGGACCAACCAAGCCATGGCAGAACCTACCACACAGATCTGAGGAGGCTTTGTCCAGTTCCTCAGCCTCTGCAATCATCTCAGCCATGGCCAGGATGTCAGCCTCTAGGGGATTGGAGGGGATCTTCACCTTCAGTTCCTCAATGGTCTCCACAATCTTCTCTGTGCTCTCCAGTGTGGTGGGCAGGAACATTGGCACAGGCACCTGTGGACAGCAGCACACCAGGCAGAAAAGTGACACTCAGTAGACTGACATAACAGCAGAGGCAGGAGAAGAGCATGAACAGAGAAGCAGGGAGCCTTGAGCAAGGCAGGATCACAAGAGCAGGAGGACACGGGCAGGTGAAGCGTGGTGCTTACCGGGACAGGCATGGAGAAAGGCACAGGTACTTTCTGGCAGTACATATGCATAGGCACAGGCACGAAGATCGGGACGGGGATTGGCAACACAACCAGCTGGGGCTTCCAGTCAGCCTCTGACAAGAACAAAAATACATCAGTGACCTTAATCCCTGAAGTTCCTCCACCCAGCTCTGCTGCATGCTGCCATGCCCCCAGCCATCCAGCACCATGGCCCTTCCAGCCACCAGCTCCTAGGACTCAGGGGCAGAGCTGCAACAGCAGCAAGTCAAGGCCAGCAACAAGAGAGCCTTGCCTTAGCCAGAAGTACAAATCCTGCTCTTACATAGCCCTGCTAAGAGGTCTGGTTGCCTTGCATATGCTGCAGACCACACACACATGCCCAACAGGAGCTAGAGTGGAACTGGTTTAGCAGACAGCCCTCAGACAAGCTAATGATCTCCTGAGGAACAGGAGCTGCCCCACAAGAGGTAGGATCATGCTACAGAGCCCTCTTCACTTCTCCTTTTTCTGTGATGGAAATGGGCTCCCTATCACCAGCCCTGCCATGTGTGCCCTCTACCCATGTGTGCCCAGAGACTTCTCAGCACGGTGCCAAACACCCAGCCTGCTCTGTGCAGCATTTCAGGCTGGATTCAGTGTGGAGCAGGGACGTGCCACTTGCCTTTCCAAAATGCCCCTGTAATCCTACAGTTAAACCTTGCTTTCCTACCTGTCTGACATCCTTTGGACTTCATTTCAAGCTTGCAGGAGACACCCCGGTTCTGCATCAGGGGTTTACACATGGCAGCTTTGTTTTTCCGAGGGGTGGCTGGAACCAGAGGTGGGGCAGGAGGCGGCACAGCTGGAGAGGTTTGGGCTGAGGAGGCCTTTGCTGACAGCTGGGAAATGCAGAAAGCAGGAGGTTGGTGTCCACCTAAGGCAGCACGATCTCTTCCCTACTGCAGGTGCAGATGGAATGACTCCCAAAGCACCTCCTGGAGCCTGGCAGTCCCCAACACATGGACACTCCCATGGTCAGGCTCTGATGAAGGACAGCCAAGCTGTTCCTGGCAGGCAGCAAGCCTGTGTGCTGCCTCTGCTCTGCCAGGAGTCCAGCAGTGGTGGCTCCGGTCCCATGGGGTAAAGGGGAACAGCAGGACAGCAACTATACCCAGGCACAGGAAAGCACTGTGCAAAGAGGAGCCAGTGAAATAGTGTCAGAATATTCATCATTGATTCCTGGGGAAGAGTTATTCTTCCCCCTTGCAGGAGATAGGTTGATGCTGCCTTCCTAGGAGTTCTTTTTATTTCCCACTACCCAGACATCTCAAAATGCATTGTTTTGTAAGAATGAAACCTCCCTGAGCAATGGCAGAACTGTCCTCTCTTTGGGGACAGCCCCTTTGTCTTGCAAACTCCTACCACCAATGGGTCTTACCATGTTAGTTTCTGCCTTCTGTGTGGAAGGGACAGCTGGTTTTGGCTCTGAAGTCTGACCTGTAAGAGAAAGCAACAACTCTTAAGTTCAAGAGCTCCTGGGCCAACATGTCCCACTGCTGGGACTGGAGGTGCAAGCAGCCAGAGAGCAGGGACTGGCTCTCCAGAAACTGCCCCTGGCCACTCCAGGAACAGTTAATGTTTCCATAATCTCTAGCCCTAACACCTCAGAAGACACTACAACTCCAAAATCAAGTTATTCCCATGTGATTTTGTGTTCCCTTACAGTCCACCCCTTCCCCATGACAGCAGGTCAGGAGAAATCCCAGCCCCTTGTAGAGAGAGGAATCCAGGGCTCTAATCCCAGCTCTGCCTATTGGCTTGCTGTACCGAGCCATGGCCCCTCCCTGTGCCTCCATATCCCTGCAGCAAATATCTTGGCAAAGTGCTTCGAGATCCCGAGGAAGAAGGCGACAGAGCTAGCAGCAGCATTGTGAGAAATCCCAGAAAGCAGAGAGACAGCTTTGCCCAGCCCTAGGGATGCAGTCCATTCCCCTAAGGAAAGAGAGGATCACCTGCAGGTGAGAGGTGTGTGTGGCAGATGCTGGTCTCAGGTGGTGACACCATCACCCTGCCCTGCATGAGAATCCAGCTCATGTGCTCTGCAGAAAACCTGCACCCACCTCAAAGGCTGGTGAGCTACCAGAGCACCTTCATCCCAGTCTGCAGTGATCCCTGGTTACCCACGTAACTGGCAGAAAGAATTGAAAGAATTGCCTTCCACTGGTGGGCCATGCATGAAGGAGACCCTGCAAGGACAGCAGCAGGTCCCAGCACCCAAAGGCAGTGGCAGGTCCATTCACAGCTCCTGTACACAGACAGGTCCTTCAGGAAAGACCCAGATTCCTAAAGGTCCAACACAGGGACATTCACACTACGAAGACTTCCTCTGAACCTGAGGAAGTGAAGGATAATTTTTGTACAATTTGAGGCCCATGAGGCTCCACTTGCTGACCACCACAGGGGGCAACAGATAAATCCCAGTTGGAGGAAGCTCCCTAGTCTGCAGCTGAGCATTCAGCCACAGGATCCGCAGCAGTCTCAGGGGCCAAGAACTCACCCTGACAACCCAAAGTGGATGGGCAGCAGGTTCAGGCAGGAAACACCAATGGCCTGAATGAGGAAAGACAAGCTATGGCTTATGAGCAGAGTTTCTTCTGCAGCAGAATCTAAAGCAAACACAATTGCTCCACTGGTCAATTATTTAGGACTAAAGAAAACAAGATTCTCCTGTCATATGCTATGTGTCCAGGCTTCCAGGAAAGTTGCAGCTTGTTCTTTTTCTTATCCCAACACCATAAAGGAGCTGTCAAGGCACTGCCTGCCACAACTGTGACTTCTACCCTCTCCAGCTGGACAGCCCAGTGCAGAGCCAGCTCCTTTGGAAGCCTTTGGGCCCAGTTTTGAAGCAAAACTCCTCAGTTCCACACTACATGAACTGTTCCCAGCAAGGCAATGTCTGCTTGTATGATCAGCTACAAGAACTGTCAGGATCACCAGACTGGTTGCAGCCACTGGATCACAGGAATTAATGGTTTTAGGCAATCACTGGCTGCAAGAGAGTAAGCAAGAATAAGCAGCTCTGTCCAAGATGAGCCTGAAATCCAGGTAGTCCCTTGCAAGCTGGGAACAAAGCTGTCAGATCCACAGGAGACCATGCAGAAGCTGGTCCTCCTAAAATCCCCTGCACAGCACAGCTGGAAAGCTCTGTGTTTAAGTGGGTCCTGGCTTCAGCATCATTCCTTTGCAAACTCAGCAGTATCCCACAGTCCTGGGGCAAGGATGTCCACAGCTGTCCCACATCTGGCAGGGAACTGGTGTGCCAGAGCATGCAGAGGGTGCAGTACAACCAGCAGCATCCACTAAGCACAGCAACTGCTGGGGCAGCCTGGAAATCGTGCTCAGCTGAGCACTCACAACTGATGACAGGCTTTTCCTTGGCTCCCTTTAGTCCTTACAGGTTGCATGGAGATGCAGCTGTGGCACAGTGAACAGTGATGCCCCACCTACCGAGCAGCAGAGTTCTGGGGGGCCTCCAGAGATGTGGTGGATGAGGCTTGAGATTCTCATGGTTGGTGGTGGTGGTGAAGGTACTTCTAAGTCTTGTGGTCCATGGTTCCAAGGAGACAAGGGTTGAACAGTGTGAAACATCTTCCCTCTGCAGGCAGAGCTTGCCCACTGTGCCTGTCCAAAAGCCGTGGTACAGATCTCTCAAAAGCAACATGCTTTGACAGCAGAGGACAAATGGAACAGCATGGCTAGAGCTGTGCAATCACTTGGTGAGCTACAGGAACCAGCATGTCTTCCTCCCTTGGGAGCAGAGCACTTAAATCAAGCAGAATTCCCATGGGCACCCCTGTGCCAGCAGAGACCAACAGTTCCTTCTCCAGGTCAGTCCAGTGTGCTGCTACTTGAGCTGTCACCTCACACAGCCTGTTATGGAGCGTGGCTCTTGGAAGGCAGGTTGGGCTTCCCCCAGCTGGGGGAACCTGCTGCTTCTGGCAGGGCAGCTCTGCTTTGCTGCCTAAGCAGCAACGACATCCAGAGCTTTGCCTGTCTTATGATCAGTGCTCTACAGTCAGGGGAGGAGCCTCAAGAGTCTGGAGATGGAGGATGAGGTCCCTCATGAGAAGCTCCTTGTCTTGGTTTCCCCTCCTTGGCACACCCTAGCCAGGGTTTTACACATCATGAAATCCCAGGGAGGCCAGCAAAGCCCTGAACCTGTGATGCAGGTATGTGTTGAAGCTTGATGCACTGCAGCAAGTCCCACTGTAAGCTGCAAGCACTTTAACTCTATCCCCAGGTCACCCAGGAGATCGTGGCCTAAGAAAGACCAAGCAGAATGAGACTGCAGGTGTCTGAGGGCCAAGCGGTGTCTTGTCACTGTCACTAGGAGCACCTTCCATCCTGAGGGATCCCAAAGCACTTTGCAATCTTCCATAAGGAACTGGCTTGAGTTAATGATAGGAAATGGGGCAACAGGCAGTGAAAATCTCCTCTCCAGCTGGTTCTCCATGGATGCAGAATGGGGTTATCTGGGACACAGGGTTGGCAACTCCCCAAAGCTGCAGTGAACTTTGGGTAAGTGGTAGGACTCCAACCTAACATCGCAAGACACAGTGCCTCCAGCAGCTCAGTGCTCCCTCAAGACCGTTCTAGGTTCAGCTCTGGCTGAAGGAGAGCCCACCTACAGCATCACCAGCACCACTTCCTGCAGCACCCTTCTTTGTCCTTGAATGTTTCCCATCCAAGCACTGACCTGGCCCAATCCAGATTAGTTTATGAGATCTGAGAAGGTCACAGCTCGGAGGTGGTGTGAGGCTGCAGGTGGATTGTCATGCCAAACCACGCTGTCCCCTAACCCTGTAAATCGAGCTCTCCGCTGGCAACTTGAGGATGTTAAATCCCTGAGTATCCTCGCTAAGAGTGTGAGCTACAGGCAGCACGCTGGCACCGGCTCCTCCCGTCTGGGCCCTGTGTGTCATAGAACCATAGATGTTAGAGATGGAGAAGCCCATTAGGTCCCACTCCGTCCTTTCCCGCCCAGGGGCCAGTGCAGGATTGTTCCCTAGCGTCTCCTCCAGTCCCAGGCAGGCAGCTTCCACCCCCTGCTGTTGAGTCTTCCCTGTGTCTCTCAGACTGAGCTATGCAGGTTCCCTCCCTCCCTCCTACTCACTGTTCAGCAGGCTCTCGGGCCCCTTCTGCGTGTCCAGGTTGGGCTGGTTCTGTTGATTGTAAAATCGCAGCAGACACTGCTGGTTGCAGAAGTGTTTGATTTGCCCTCGCCAGTGGATGGTTTCCAGCAGCTTCCCCTGACGCTTGCAGGCATGGCACCGAGCTGCCTAAAGCCCGCATCAGCAGGAGAGAAACAACGAGTAACTAACCACACCCCCTCCGAGTGCAACACAACTCTCCAGTGAAAGGTGCACATCGCAAGGTGCAGTGAGCTTCCCCACAGCAGTGCCCTGCCAGTGCCAGCCGGGGACTCCAGCGGTGCGAACTTCTCCCAGCAGCACTGGCCGCGGATCCAGCACTGTGAGCTTCCTCAGGGCAGTGCTCTGTCTGGCAGGATCAGCTGGGGACTCCAGCTACGTGAGCTTCCCCGTAGCAGTGTCCCGTCATTGCCAGGCAGGACTCCAGCAGTGCCAGGTTCTCCGCAGCAGTGCCAGCCAGACTCCAGCAGTGTGAACTTCCTCAGTGCAATGCCCACTTATCTGGGTGCCGTGCCCACCACAGCACTTAGCACAAGCTGCCAGTGCCAATACTGACCTTGAAGTACCAGAGCAAGTATTTGCTTTTGCAGTCTTCACTACAGAAGTCCCAGGTGCTGCCCTCCAGCTGCTCGGTGACCGCCCGCTGGCAGGTCTGAGAACAGTAGGTGCAGGTGATGCAGCACAGGCCCAGGTTCTTGGTGAAATCCTGTTTGTAAAGAAGCACACACCCTGCGGAGAAACAATAGGAGTGAAACCTTCCCAGGATGAACTGGGGGCCTCCCTGACCCAAACATGACCAGAATCCAGGTCTGCGGAGACAACAGAGCACACGCAACACACTGTAGGGAACAATCCAGCACTGGCCCCTAGGGCTGGGATAAGATGGGACCTCACGGGGACTTGCCATCTCTCACCTCCATGCTTCTAGGAAGAGTCTGACTCCAACCTCCTGTGTGCAGGAACCCAGCAGGCAGGGCAAGGCCAGGTCAGGCCAGCCCAGACGCAAGAGCGTAGAAGTGCATGATGACAGGAGGAGCGGAGCTGCCACCTGCTGTCTCCCCAGCCCCCAGAGAGAGAAAAGCTGTGAGAAGGCCCTCCCCAAGGACACAATGAACGGTAAAGATCTTGCCCTAGGGCCTGGCTGGACAGCAAGCCATCCCCACAACAGTCCTCCCTTCACTTCATGGCAAGGCTCTTGCCCCAGGGCCTGGCTAAGACAATCTCCCCTCTGTTCCTCTCCATGCTCTCTTCTCCTCCCCCAGCATGGGCTGGCATGGGGGCTCTGCCTCTCCCATGCCCTTCCCCAAGTACCTTCGCTGCAGAAGTTCTTCTCCACTCCAGAGAAACGGATCTTCTCATGCAACAGCTTCTCCTGCTTGCAGTGCTCACACTGAGACACCACCCCACGCAGCCGCTTGAAATCCTCGCAGCAGTCCTTGCAGCAGAACTGATACACCTTGTCCTGCCAAGAGACCACAGCCAGGTCAGCCAGCCTGGCAGCAGGTTCCCACACTTCTTAGGGAAGCAAGAGAAAGACTACATGGCTGAGTTAAGTCCTCAGCTCTCCTGGCACAGGATTTGGCAGGAGTGGTCTCCTGCTGCCCTTCTGACATCCTGCTGAACATCAGGAGTGCAGCACTCAGTCTCCAGGCACATCTCTGCAGCTAAGGCATTCAGAGGACTGGCAGAGGAGGAGCTCTGCTTACAGCAGGGAGAGGAAGTATCCCAGAGGTTCTCAGCAGTGTTGGCCTCCACCTCAACATCCCCCCAGGTGAAATCCTCACCTGCCAGTCCAGGATCTCCGGCTTCCCGCTGAACAGATTGTGACAGTAATGGCAGTTGAGGTGGATCCCACCTTCGGGGCTGGTGCGCTGAGGAGACAGAGACAGCTCATGGGGAGAGGGCAGCTGGAGGGCAGCAGGCACCTGCTCACACTGCCACCACTGCCACCTCCTCCAGGGCCTGCAGCCTGCCTGGCCCCTCACACCTGCTGCCACTGTGGGGACTCGCTCAGTCCATCTCATCATGTCCCGCACTCCTGGAGAGATGATTCCTGAGAGCAATTTCACTTTGCTTCCAGTGTGCTGGGTCCAGCTCTTCTCAGGAAGGCAAGCTTGCAAGCTTGCCATGCCACTGGATTTAAAAACTTAAATGATGAGGGCTCTGCTACTTCTTCTGAGGATTTCTCTAAAAGTTATTGAAGCAGAGGTGCCTGATTTCTATTTTCAAGATAATGCAACTTAAGAATTCAAGCAGCCTCTCATCTTATTTTCTGCTAGTCTAATCTGCTAGACTAAACAGCATTTGGTGTCCTGTCCACAATGCATTTAGTATTTGGTGTCTTATCCACAAGGATATATTTATTAATAAAGTAATTCCTGGTTTTCTTTCTGATAACCTCAGATAAGACATTCTGCAAGTGCCTCAGTACAAGCATTTTTCAAGCCCAAATTTAATTTTTGGGCTTTTCTTCAGAATACTTTCAGTTTCTCTTCAGCATTGAAATGGACAGTGGAGAACATCCTTCCTATATGTGCATCATTCTAGGCAGCTCTTTTGCTCCCTGGCCTTCAAACATTAACTCTGTGTTTGCCTGCTTGTACTTGCAATAAATTAATCCTTCCCTGTGTGGATGTAAATTGAGATGCTCATACTGAATAGTTTATCGGCTGTAATTCCACAGCCTTTTCAAAATCCTTATTTTCAAGGATTTCCACACTACCTGAGTAAAGCTGACAGAGGATCTTGTACTGAAACTGCATTTAAGCACACATTAGGAGGAAGCAGTCAATCAATCCAATTGCTTTGCTTTCCATGACTACCCTGAATGCAACATGGGCTAACACCTCACCAGTTTTTGTTTCATCTGCTAAATTTCATCATGCTTACTTTGACTTTACTGACAAATGATCAATGAAGATGTTGAAGTCTTTGCACTTAACACCGATCTCCAAGAAACCATTTTGAAACATTCTCTTCAGTGTTTTTTCTTTGACAAGTGTGTTCTGAGATCTGCCAAAACAGTTCCTAACCCAGGTGATGCATGGGTTTACTCATATGTTTACAATGCTGATTTTATATGGAAATAATTCAAGTTAAATGAATTAATGAAGTCCCAGTTGGGAAAAGTTGCAATCATTTCTAAAATGGGTAGAAAGGAGGACCCTGGAAACAACTGAACTGTGCAGTGCCTGTGAAGATCATGGAACAGATCCTTCTAGAAGCTGTGCTGAGGCACATGGAGCACATGAGGTGCCAACACAGGCAGCACAGGGCACCAAGGGCACTCCTGCCTGACCAACCTAGTTGTCTCCTCAATAGAGGGAGGGGATTCTGCCCCTCTGCTCCACTCTGGCCAGACCCCACCTGCAGTGCTGCCTCCAGCTCTGGGCTCCCCAGCACAGCAAGGACATGGAGCTGCTGGAGCGAGGCCACAGGAGGGCCATAAAAATGACCAGAGCTTTGGAAGGGTTCTCCTGTCAAGAAAGGCTGAGAGTTGGGATTATTCAGCTTGGAGAAGGCTCTGGGGACACCTTATTGTGGCCTTTTAATACTTAAAAGGGGGCTTGTAAGCAAGATGGGGATATACAATTTAGCAGGGCCCGCTGCAACAGGACAAGGGCTAATAGTTTTAACCTAAAAGAGAGCATATTGAGATTATATATATATTTTTTTTTTCACAACGTGGGTGGTGAAACACTGGCACAGGTAGGTGCCCTGACCCTGGAAATATTCAAGATCAGATTGGACAGGGCTCTGAGCAACCTTATCTAGTTGAAGATGTCCTGGTTCACTGCAGGGGAGGCTGGCCCAGATGACATCTAAAGGTCCCTTTCAACCCAAACTGTTCTATGATTCTAGTTTTATGAAGTCTACAACACTAAAAGCTCTAGAGCTACACTACTCACACTGTCTGTGACCTTAGTGAAGGATTACAATCAAGGATTTATTAAAAAAACCCAAACAAACAAACAAAAAGAAACAAAAAGAAACCCACCAAAAAACCCCAAACAACCAAATGTCTCCACCACTCCCACAAAAAAAAAAAAAAAAAAAAAAAAAAAAAAAAAAAAAAAGCCCCAAACAAATCAAATCTGAAAATGAAATGCTGCAACTGCTGGTAGCTAACTCTTACCTCTAGATTTTCTATGTTTTCTCAGTTGCCCAAGACATGTCCTGGCCTGAGTTTCTCAGGTCTTCCTGGCTGTTACTTTGTTCTTTGACAACTGTGCAAAACTAATATTCTTGAAATTCCTATGAATACCACAGACATCTCACATTTGCTGAAACTTAACATCAGAAGATTAAAATTCACCAGTCAAGCCTTTGAGGATTATTAAATATGAGGTATCCAGGCCTGCTACTTGTAAATTTTTAGATAATACATCCTGAAGACTTATGTTTCTCAGTGACACCTGGCTGAGAGGGAAGCTCTGCTCTTTCCACCCTGGTATGAGGTGTGCACTTGTGCTTTGCTGGCTTACTTTTGCACTTGCTTGTGTTCTCATAAGGCCACTCTATCTCAAATCACTCAAACAGCACAGCTCTGCACTGCCCTCCTGCTGGGCATAACCTGATAGACAGGAGTGAATTGCAGCCCTGATAGACAGGAATGAATTGCAGCCCACTTTATCCTAATGGAGGGTGGGGGAGATAGGGCCAAGACTGGGATTGGAGCAATCACAGTCACTGCAACTCCTGGGCTCCAGAAGAGACTTTCTTCTTTCTTAGGAGCCCTCCCTGAGGAGCTCAAGGAAGGTGGAGCCTCTGTTTAGTGTGAAAGGAGGCCTGAGCTCCATGGCCCAGCCCAGCATAAAGGATATTTCAGTACCTGGAATTTGGTCCAGCAGCTGGGGCTGCAGAACTGGTAGACAACCCGGTCTGTCTTGTTGTAATAGCAGGGTTCAGATAAACTCTTTCTGCAGAAGCTGCAGGGTCTAGGGGGACCTGATGAAACAGATAGGAATTGGTGAGGGCAGCAGCACAGGATGTGGGACTGGACTCTGAGGAGGGCATGCAAGCTACTCACTCATCCTCAGTCTGTCAAGCTATTACCAAAAAGCAAGGGACAAGAACAGCAGGAAACTAAGAGCATCAGATTCTACTAGGACAGAAATGTTAAACAGATGGAGAGCAGAGTGGTTCACACAAGTGACCCCCTCTGGTTCACAGAAACCCTGGCTCTGTAGGAATTTGGACAAAACAGGCTGCAACACTTGTCCCACTCCTGAACACCCCAATACACCATGTAATGGGCAGGGCACTGCCAGCACAATCCAGCACTACACCTGCTCCCTGCATTCATTCTCAAGAACAGCAATGTACACTCCCCTCTATTAAGATGTCTACATGCTGCAAGGGTTCCTCCCTCTGCACTTCCACTTGTTTCACTGGACTCTCCCCCCAGGCTCTTACATCTTTTCAGTCCCATCCACAAGCAACAACCAATACCAAGGAAGGAGTTAAGTGGAGAGGTGATGGTTCCCTCTACACAGGTGCTCTTACCAACTAAGCCTGACTGCTTCACTTTGTGGGAGGTAGTGCAGCAAATGGAGCAGAACAGGCCCATCTTGCCACTGCGATCCACATTGGGCAGCATGTCAAAGTTCTTGCACAGTGTCTTGCACCACATGCAGGGGTAGACCCGAGTGTTCTTCTGCAAACACAGAGAGAACAGAGCTTCCAGGAGACCATCACAGCTGGCAAGGCCCAGCTACCACATCCCACCCCACTGCTGAATCCACTACAGGACTACTCTCTTGCAGTGACCACCTGATGCCAGGGATAGGCTCATAGTCTGCAGATTCAAGTGGTGGTAGCAAAAAAAGCTGCCTTTGGCACTTCAGCCTCTCATTTCAAGGGTAGCCTAGCAGGAATACAAAGTTTGGCCATCCCTTCCAAGACAGTTAAGTGAAGACTGATAAGGTGACAGAGGAACATACCCAGCCCAGCTTTAGGGAGACATCCAGAAGCCAGTCCATGCTAACTGCATATACCAGTGTCATTTTACCACCAGTTCACTGACTTTCTGACCCATGTTTGGGTCCATAGTGGGCCCCATGCTGATAAAATCAATTCTGTTTGCCTGCTTCAGAGTTTCCCCACAGCAATCTGTTAACTGCTTTGTCAGCAATCAAAGACCAAGGGGATTCCAGTCACCTGCAATTTAATACAATGCCCTGTGCCACACCAAGAAAAGTTGCTTGAACCTCCCACCCCAGGCAGGTGCCCACACCCACCTTCTTGTAACTGTTGAGACAGGCAGAGTTGCAAAAGCGTTTTTGCTGGCCTTCATGGAAGAGGTACTCCAGGGGCAAGCCCTTGTTGTAGATATAAAGTCCACAGTAGTCACAGCAGTTCGTTTTCAGCCCCTTGGTGGCCCGGAACTTGGTGAAGCAGGCGTCGCTGCAGATGCGGTGAACCACGTTCCCATTGCTGACCTCGTGTTGGATCTGCAGAGACATCATTGTTGTCACTCCCAAACCACCACAGGCCTCCTTCCAGGGCAGCTGTACCACTACAAGCACAGCCCTTGGGATAACAGGCACTAAAACTCTGGGAAGTGCCATACTGGAAGCTGGTGTGGACTCAGGGTGGCCTCCCTTGCCAAAAGTCAGAGGAACAGGGAGAGCAGAGTGGCAGGAAGCAGTGAGCCTCAGGCAAGGAAAAGCTTGAGAGTGAGCCTAAGCCAGCTCCTGAGGCCTCACACCACAGGAAAACCTGGCAAATGCCCTGGTCTTGACCAAAACTAAGTGCTGTGAGTCCTAAGCACTTTGTCCAGGACATGGGAAGGACAAGGGATTTGTTTACCTCGCCAGGTTTGTGGCAAACACTGCAGCGGCTGGTGTCCGAGGCATCTGCAGACTGAGGTGCTGGTCTGTGCTGCTGGGCCTCGTAGAGGGAAAGGCAGACAGAGGTGCAGAACTCATGGAAAGAGCCACCTGAACCAATCTGGGCAACCACAGAGTCCTTGGTGTTCCAGATCTCCCTGGGGATCAGGAGGGGATGGGTTAGTGCAGGGACATGTGTGTCCTGCCACAAAGGGATAGGATGGCTCACTGCAATGTACAGTACTTTCTGGTGTCCCAAAAAGTTGGCAAGAATTGTCTCACAGCAGCTTCTGTCCTGGCCCAGGGGAGAGGTGTTTGAAGACAGAACATGCAGGAGGTTGTTTTGAAGGGAGGCTGGAATATGGGGCTCTAAGTCTGGGGACAGGCAGGGAAAGCAAGAATATGAAAGGGGTGTAGGGAGCATGGGGCAGGCAGCGTGTGAAAGAATACACAGGGCAGCAGCTGGCAGTGGGCAGGAGTGATGTGGCTGAACGAGGGCCATAGGAAGGGGACTGGCAGGAGAGCTGTGGAGCATTTGAGTGGGGCCACAAGCACGGGAGCACTGGGGAAAGGGGAACGAACACACACTTTTTGCAGAAGGTGCATATCTTCTTGCCAGGCGGTTTTTTTGAGAAGGTGGTGAGACAGGAGCTGGAGCAGAAGAGCTGGGGAAGGCCTTTTCTCTGGTAGGCAGTCTGGCCCTTCTGCAGCGGGGTCCGGCAGTTGGCACACGTCATCTTGGTGAAGGAGGAGCGGGCGGCGCGCTGCGCCATCTGAGCACGCAGCGACATCCGCGTGGAGCGCCGCGTCCGGAAAGGGACGAAATCCTCATCGTTGGGATCATCCACCATCGCATCAGAGTCCTCATCAGACACTGGAACTGCAGAGCAGCACAGGAAGATCAGAAACCCCTCGTTAGGAAGTGAGAAACTCAGCTGTGAGACACATGCTGGGATTTTCTGAGTCACCTTTCTAGAGTCCCTCTATGTACTTTGTTCCTGTCTGGGTGGAATGATAAAGGGATCCTTAAAAGAAATTCTGTTGTAACTGAAGATGAATCAAGAGGTGTTTAAACAAACCAGGCTTAAATACAATTCCTGTCTAGGAAGTCATGATACACCAAGGTTGAGCAGAAGCCTGAAGTGTGAACATCTACCCTGTAAGAACTGTTAGACTGGAAAGGGAATGTGTTAATCACTAGATTCTAGCACAGGCAGGCAATAAAGGAGCAACACACAAATACTAGGGAATGGCAGGGTGACATTCAGTATCTCAAAGAACAGACACTTCACTCCAGGAAAATCTCCAAAATACAACCTTTCTTCAGACAGCCTGCTCTCACAGAGAGAATGGAAGAAAGTTCCTGGGTGAGGAGATGGAAAATGGATTTCCTGGGAACACCCCCCAAATCTCATCCTGTAACTTAGTGCTTGGTGCCCACACACCACTGTAAAAATACTACAACACTCCCTGTTTTGACCTAAGTGCCCTGAGAAAGCAAGGCAAGTACCCCAGGATGGAGACTTGTGGACCTGTCTTGTGCAGAAGGGAAGCCTGCATGGAAGTTCCAGAGTTCCCACTGTACTCACACCATGAACTACCTGCCCACAATGGATCTGGACCATTCTCTCTGCTTTGGTCTCTCTGGACCATTCTCTCTCCCCAGTTACTCACTGCTCTCTGAGGAGTTCACAGTCTCAGGCCTGACAGTTTCTGATCTTCTGGGTCGTTCACTTCTTTTCTGCTCCTAGAAGACATTCAGAAAATAGTTAGGCTAACTAGCAGCTAGGGCAACCATGGATAAATATCCCAGATTATGGTGAAGTTCCAACTTCAGGGATTTGGTTTCCCAATACCTAGGCTGAAAATGGATAAAACACCATGGATACCTGATCAGAGCTGGCAAGACAGAGGAGAGAGGGGAGTAGGCTTATGAGAATGACATTTCAGCTGAGGGACACAGGGACGCACTGAAGCCACATTACAGCATAGTGGCAGTGCACAGGGATCATTCTGTTGCAGGAGTCATGCCCTCCTTTCCAGAGGGCTGACATGACAGCCAGTGTCCCTCATAGAGTCTGACAACAGCCAGCCATGCTCTGTGCTCCTGTACCACACATACTTGACTGCATGCTCCTCACCTTCTCAGCTGGCAGCTCGCTTCCCTTCCCAGACAGGCTTTCTCCTGGAACAGAAGCACAGAACAAGCTTGCATCTAACATCTTGCTTTATTCCAACAGAAGAGCACAGGTGTTCTCCAAATGCAGCCACCCTTTGGGTCAGTCAGCACATGAAGCCTCAGCCTGTTCTGCCTACCAAGTACAGTTCTGATGGTGGAAGGTTCCTAAACCCACCAGCTGTAGTTGCAGATCCAAACACAGACAGGGAGAAGCCCTGTAAGGGGGAGACCTCCCTGCATGGGGGAGGCAGGCTGGGTGGGCTGCTTCTGACAAGACTGAGCATCTCCTGGGGATGGCCAGCTGGGCAGAGGAACTTTGCCTATTGGAAACAGCTTTGCTGACCTAAGTTCCAGCAAAGACTCCAGCAATGGAGAGTGTGAGCTCTCTGAGCTGCAAACTCAAAGAGCACAAAGCCCCCTTGGTGACATTCAGTACAGTGCTACTTGCACACAGTGCCATCTTAGACCATCACTGTCTCATTCCTGGCTATTGTCTACAATTGTTAACAGTTATTGGAAGAGTTGAGATGTTTTAAATAAAAAAAGCTGTGGCTGATGTGCAGCCACAGCTTTACTGGGGAAGCTCCTTGCTTCCACAAGCACCAAAAATCAATTAAAGCCATGAAAGCCAGAGCAGGAGCTTGTGCACACCAGAACATTATTCCCTTTACACAAGAGGCTTTGCCCAAATCTAGACCATCAGAAGAGCTGGCTATTTCCATAGCAGGGGATGAGCTGGAATGCAGAGCAGACTCCAGCTTCAGCAATGTTTAGCTGGATGACTTGAGCAAAAGGAAGCCAGGTTCTGCTGAGCCAACAACTTACCTGCTGGTGGTAAGGCTTCCTGTGCTTTGAGTGCACTGTTTTCTTTAAGTGAGTTCTTCCCATTATCATCCCCTTCCTCTGCCCGGTTTTTCTCCACAGGCTCAGGGGGCAAAGCTGCAGTTCTGCTGTCTGGGCTCAGCTGCACCTGTGCTTCCCCTGCCAGCCCTTCCCTCTGCAAAGGTGAGCTTTTCCTTGGTGCCTTCAACTTCATCTTCTTTGTTTGTTTCAGACTGATTTGGGGTGGGGGCACTGTGGGACTTGAGGACTGTGCTGTGGTTTCTTCCTTGGCTGGGGCACTGCTGAGGTCCTTGGAGTCAGGGACAGGTTGTTGGGGTGATTTAGGGGCATTGTCACCAGACAGTGCAGGAATAGCAGCAGCACCATCTTCCTTTATATCCCCAGAACAATTTTTTGGTGCATCTTCCCCTTCTTTCCCTGTTTCTGGACCAACAGCTTCTCTAGACAGGGCAGAGGAGTCTGCTGGTCCACCCTCCACGTCCTGGGAAGGTTGTTCCTTACACAGCCCATCCAGACCCTCTGCTTTATCCACCAAGTCAGAGGTTTTACCCAAATCATCCCTGACACCAGGTTTCTCCAGCACATCCAAGACACCAGGTTTATCTAGAACACAGTCATTTGATTTATTTAGTTCAGGCACGTTGTCTGCTTTCACTACAAGGTCCAAGTCCTCATCTGCAGACATCTGCTTGGATTGATCCCAGCCAGGGGGCTGAAGAACTGAAACTTCCTGGGTAGAAGCTGTCTGGGAGCCCAGGAGATCTTCACCAAACTCCATGTCAGCAGGGAGATCACCAATGAGGGGTTTGTCAGGCAAGGACAGGGGGTCCAGAGATCCTGAAAATTCACTGGAATCCATTTAGAAGATGGCAACTGGAAATGAGAGAGAGACTTGCAAGTTAATGAAAAGCAGTCTAACACAGAACATGAACTGTGCACTCTTCTGAACACTGCTGGAGTAAACCAAGGCCCAGGAATGCTGCCAGGCCATAACCAGGACATCAGACACCAGCAGGTGAATCACCTCTGCTTGTGAGGGTACAAAAGTCAGCAGCAGGATGCAGTAGTTTGGTGTTACAGACCTTTGGGAACTCTACAGCCCTCACACATCTCACCACAGCACAGCAAAGAAACTTGCTCATGCTAAATGACACACTGGGGTATCAGAGCACCAATTCAGGAGGCTCCACACCAATGTCCTGTGGTAATATCCCTGGCCTGCCTTCTTCTCCATCCAAATAATCTGGTCTGTCCTCTCTCCTGATCTGTTCTTATGGAGCTAACACATTTTTAATTTTTAAAATACCTTTTTTCTCTTAAACACAGAGGTAGAAGCCTCAAGTGTGAGTCTTTCAAGCCCTGAAGTGTGAGTCTTAACAAGACACAGGATGACAACACACATTAATCTTGTCAGAGGACAGATATGAACAATATTACACTATAACTACAGAAGCTGCATAGCCCCAAAATTACATAGGCTAATATTAAGACATGGAACAACTGGAAAAGCTTAAGTTAGAACTAGGAGGAGTTCTGGAGGGTGACAAGAAGAAAGGTGGTAAAGCTGTGATGTTAAAAGCAGTCATAAGAAGAACAAGTAGCAAGATAGACACAAGCAGGCAATGCAGAGTCAGGAAAAAAGCTCAGTGTGACTTTGCAGGGCACCAACAGTGACTTGAACAGGAAGGTGTGATGCAGACTGCCAACCTCAGAGGCAAAGTTACAGCCCAGCTCCTCATGGTTGACATCATCATAAAACAGAAAGGTCAAGACTTAGAGATGAGGCAAGTAATATGGTCTAAAACTGAATTATACCCCCACAAGGAGATAATGGTTGACAAACCTGAAGAGGGAAAGAGAGAAAGAGCTGGAGTCTGCAAGTGGGAAAGCAGTGCAAGACTTGAAATAACATCATGTCCCCAAACAGGCTCTCAGTAGGCACTACAAAAAAGGCACTAGAATCAAATGACGTGGCAACAACCTAGCCCTTCCTATCAGAGTAATTCCAATTCTAAATTTAGCACTGTTTTAAGCCCTGAATGAAAAAACACAGTACTTTTGTTTATTTGGGCTTACAGTGGGCATAACTCATCTCTATCAATGAAGGAGGAAGCCTGATTTAATTTCACTGATGATGGCTGTTTAGCTCTTTTTTTCATATCCTTCCCTCTGAACGGACAAGCAAAATTTCACTCACAAATGGTTTGCTCAGAACTAAACAGAACATATTTGGACAGAGAAGGTACCCAGCTTCTGAAACTTAGACAAGCAGGAATTTAAGGAAATCATACCCAACAACTGGACTTCAAAGCCACCACCTCCTTATTTTATCTAAATACACAGTAATGTTTTCTGTTTCCTGGTGGTAGATAAAGCATTGTTCCTACAATCCCAATCAGAAACTAAAGCAAATGTAATCTTTAGAAATGCTCAGCAAGTTTCACCCCCAAAGATTTTCATGTTTCTATTCACTTTTAGTAATAAGATGAGACAGAACTTTTAGAATAAGCCAATTCCAGAGCAATGCAGGATCTAATACATGTTTTAGGTTGGCTGACAGAAATAAGAACAAAGTGAAATAGAAACAAAGGTATCTGAAAGAAAGGTCCGAAGGGTTTGAAGATGAGAACCCTTCCAAGATGATAAACAAGATGCTGTTCAGAATATGAGCGATGTCTCCTGCTCAAAGATATTCCCCACCCAGTTTCACAGACAGACAGCAGACCCTACAATAAGAAAAAAACCTCAAAACATCCAGATGAAGAAGGTAAATTTATTTACAGGTATACTTAACAAAGCTAACATACCCCTCAGAATGACCTCAGACACTTTGCACAAGTTTGCAATGAACCACTAAGGTCCTAAAGTAATTCCCACTTTCAGCTGCCTAGTCTTTGCTTGGTAGAAACAGACCCTGGAAACATTTGGAGCATAAGAAATCCATGTGGGCATTCCCTCCCAGAGCATAATGCAAGCAACCATCTACAAACTTGTCCTGTAACTCATGGTACAAGTGGACCAAAGGCATCTGGGTTAACAGTGTACACCTTAACCTGCTTTCAAACTTTGGGTGATACAATGCAAGACAAAACTCTGACTTAATGGCAGTGTGCTTGACCAACAGAAAAGTCTGAAAGAGAAGAAGCATTCTGCAGATTAAGGCAACTCCAAAGTATCAGGATGTGGCTGGAACAGACCTCTCTGCAGAGGCAAGGCTGCAGTGAGAGCACTGACTCACTCACATGCTCTGTTTGGAAGCACAGCCCTCAGTGCTCCAGGCCCTGTCCCCTCTCATCAGTTCTGTCTGAACCCTCCCAGCAGAACAGCTCACACATTCTGGAGAAGGAACTCAAACTTCTTAGGATTGCAAAGCTAAGGACTGCTGCAGGGCAGCAATGAAAGGGCCATGTGCTTGAATATCCTGTTCCTATTCACACCAGGAATGTGAATACCTGGGGAGAGAGTGTAAGAAACACAACTAACAGGATGTTCCTCTTCAGCACATCCCCCAGTCAAGGACTCAGCTGCCCAAGAATCTCACTTGGCTTGACCTGCACTGACAATGTCCCTGTTAAGAGTCTGTACTGGGCAAATCCTCTGTGAATCTGCCTAATCCCACTTTGAACCAATTTACACTTTGGACCTCCTAAAATTCCAGTGGGTTTTAAGTCCTGCAGTTTAACATTCAGGTTTTAGAAGTATTTTCCTTTTGTTTATTTTCAACCTTGTGCAGCAGAGCTCCGAGGTGATACAGGGCAAATGAATGCCAACTCTTGATATATTTAAAAGAATCTGGAAAAGCTGATGGAGTTAAGAGTTGAGGCTGGACCCAAGGTGATGCTGACAAACAGTGTGAGTGGGAAAGCACAGAATATCCCTGACAATGAATTCTTTATAGTGGCTTTCAACTACCAGCTGATAAGAACGAGGAAGGAGGCTCTCAAAATAGGAAAGAAAGGTATTTTCCAGTTCTGTGGGTTGCTCTGAAATCAAACTCAACCTGAAGAAATTAGAGCTGCTCTGCTGCAGCAAGGTAAGAAGCTCTACTTCTGTCTGCCCCAGGCAGACAGATTTGTCTGGGCCTTCTGTTGAGCTTCACAGTGAGTTAAGCTGCAAACAGAGCGTGCTCTTTATCTCTGGGAAAGTCTTTTCTCACTTTCCACAACAGAAACAGAATAGCTTATTGTTTCTGGCAGATGCTGAAATGATCCACCACAAGTCATCACCTCTCTTACTCCAGGACCAGCTAATGCACAGCTCAGTCACTGGGGTTTGGTCACTGGTTTGCTCAAAATCTTCTTCTTTTCCAGCCACATAACTAGCAGCAAGGAGAGTGCAGCGCAACAAACCAAGAGGAGGCAGTGTGCTGAAATCCTGCACCTAGCAGCACACAGAACTGCTCCATCTGGGAACTCCTCACCTAGGAGTAAATACTACTTCCCTGGAGTATCCAGTAAGAGATAGATGCTTGGGAAGTTGAAGGAGCTAAGTCCCCAGCACAGCAGCCTGCAGCAGAATGCTTCTCAGGCAGCAATAGGCATTTGCAAAGGAGCGATGGGACAGCTGGGGGTCCTCCCCAGGAGTGCAGGACTGGCACAGAACACGGCACTGATGGCCAAACCCACCTGTGACCACCAGACCTGCCCAAGAGGGGCACGTGGCATCTTCTCTCAGGTCTGGAAGCTCAAAGTGCAACATCTCTGCCAGGACACTTAAGCACATCCTGGGACTTTATCCAGCTTATTAAAGACATCAGTGGTGCTGTAACTCAGGTAACCATTAGCAGGGGAATATGTGGCCTACCTACAGAAATGAGGATCTACCATCAAACATTTAATTAAAAACAGACAGCAAAAAAAAAATGCTGCTGTTACTCCCTCCTGATGAAGAGAACATCTCAGAAGTCTTTACAGCCCACAAAAAAATCCCACAGCCATGCAGTTACTGCTGTCCTCTGGCAAAGGAACAGGAACTGCTTGAGTGTCTGTCCTGGACTTCTGTTCATGGATGTGTATGCAGATTTTCAACATTTTTGAAGGCTGAAGGATTATCTTTTTCACTATTAGAGATAATTTGAAATATGAAAACAATTAACTAGTAACTACAAAAGAGACTTAAATCAACATTTTAGCCACCTCCCATCTACAAGGTCTGTAAGATCTAAGCAGATCTCTGGAAGAAGCTTCTATTTTTTTGTGCCAAATTTTTGAACCAACAGTAACACTCCACCTAGTATTTCTCAACAAAAATAGTGTAAATACACAGTTCAATGAATAAAACATTAAGAAAGTGATATCATGTCCTACCAGCACGGTTTCAGTCAACATATCTTCATCAACAATATTATACTTTGAGTGGTGAGTACAGCAGAAGCCAACTTCACTGTGACTTATCTGAGTTTATCTGGACAGCTGACAGCATTCTAAATTCAGGCACTGCAAACCTTTATTACATATTGGCTAACTCACTTCAACCCAAATGAATTTACAAACAATCACCAGTAAATTAAGCACACTACTGTGGACCATGTTCCAGTCCAGAAAAAATTCTCCAGAAAGGAGGAGAAAGTTTTTTGTTACTTACTTGTGTTTGTGGAGAGGCAGCTCTCTGAGCTGCAAACTGAAGAGCACAAAGCCCCCTTGGTGACATTCAGTACAGTGCTACTTGCACACTGTGCCATCTTAGACCATCGCTGTCTCATTCTTAGCTACTGTCTACAATTGATCACAGTCACTGGAAGAGCTGAGATGTTTCAAATTAAAAATAAAAATCTGACACAGTAACACAAGAATCCCACTGCTTTAATAATCAGCCATGGTTTAAAGAACACCCTTCAGAGATAAACCTATTTTGTTCCCTGAAAAGAAATGGGAGAGATGTGATCCATCTCAAAAAAGTCCCAAAGTAAGAAGATCTACAGCAGACAACTCCTTGGAGACACAGAGATGCACTCAAGGATGCAAAAATCTGGAAATCAAAGCCCATAAACACATGATTAAACAACTGACCATGGGATCTGTAAACCCTCTGGGACTTGGAGGCTTTACATGCAGTGACTCACTCCAAGTCAGCCACAGCTGCTGTGGTCAAGTCCTTGTGCCTTTCAGGGAGGGTTTGGTGAACATTGTCCCACCTCCAAATGGATGATTGGCTCCCAACCAGTGCAAAGGGCAGCAGCTTTCACCACATCCCCTCCAGGCCAGCCTCCAGTGTCACTGGGACTGTCCACACAACAGTAACTGGCACACAGGGAAAAAAAGGGCCTTTCCAGAATTTCACCAGCAGCACTGAGACTCCAGCAATTGTTTTTTGTTAGTCCCAAAGCCAGGAAAGCAGATCACCACTAGATTTTCCTACAGCAGGAGCCCCAGCTCAGGGCTGCAGGCCTCAAATGAAGTATCACTGTCACCCTGAAGCCAGAAAATCCTCCAGCACTGAGCAGCTGGTGCTGTAACACACAGCCATGAGTCTCCTGTAAATTCCTCAAAGGTAGGAACAACCAAACTGGATTTTGAGTTTGCATTCCAGAAACTTCACCTCAGCTTCAACAAAGTGCAAGAAGGACAAATTTCAGAAATCTCACAGAATTGCCTGGAATTAGGTTTACCAGGAGACTCTCTGCAACACTTCAAATAAAACTGACAACATTCCTCAATCTCAGCATTATCTAATGCTAACCACAGCAGTAAATGCTAGGACAGGCAACAGGAGCATCCTCATCCATCCAGAATGCCATCCTGGCAGCAGTTTGAAATGCCTTGGATCCCCTCACACCTCCTAAGACCAGGATCTCCCAAAGCACTGAGTGTCAAGGCTTTGCAACAGAGAAAAGAGTAACAAATCCAAGTACACCCTCAGCAGCAATGCTGTATGGAGAGCAACTCAGCCTCAAGAACCAACTCCACTCAGCCATCAAGTCCAAGAGAAAATCCTCCTGGTGTTTGTACAGCCAAAATAGTGTTAAATGCAGGGGAAAGGGGTGAGTGGGTAAAAAGGCTTTGGAAGTACTATCGGAAGCACAACAAAAAAGGCTTGGAGGTACAGCATGCTTGAGCAGTGTGTGCCCAAACTGCCTTAATGATATCAAGACAATTATTAAAAAAAAAAAAAAAAATAGGAGACCTGGAAATGGTAAAAACCAGATGGTCATCAGGTCTGTCTACCTGTTGCCCAAATGCTGCAGAAAGGCATCAGAACACCTGACAAAGTGTCCTGGCACATCCCACAAGCAGCTGGAGAGGACAGCTGCAGGGACAGCAGGTGACTCTCCAGAGGAGTGCTGCAGCCTGGGACAGGCCACAGACTGCCTGGAGGCCCTCAAAACACAACTGGACATACCTCTGAACAAAGCCTCAAAGTCAGCTTTGCCGTGAGCAGATCAGAATGACCAGACACTCCTAGAGGTCCCTTACAACCCAAATCTGTCTGTGGTTCTGTGAATAAACCTTACTGCCGAGGGAAAAGAGAGAAAACAAAAGGGCAGAGTCTCTGAGAGGACGTATCTTTGAAGGCAAAACATGAAATTTTCCTTAAGAGCCCTGCAGAGCCAAAATACTGGAAACACAGTGAGAGCTGTCTCCTCTGCCTCACTGACAGGCCCAGATCCCTCTGCAAGGCGCTGGAAAGGGATCTCAGTGCTGGGAGGCCTCAGCTCACATGCAGCTCTTGAGAGTGGCCCTGGCAAGGCTGTGTTGAGCAGAGCAATATCTCAGCCCATCCAGAGACCAGCTCCTCACCCCTTGGGCTGCCCAGGGCTGGGCCAGCAGAGCAGGCTCACGGCAAGGGGAGAGGAGACAGCACCAGAGCCCATGGCCAGCAGGGCTGGTGAGGATGGTCTCAGGCACTGCCATTCCCTGACCTGTACCATCTGCAGAGAGGGAAGTTAATAAAACACGACAGACTAAAATTCAGTCAAATCCTCAGCACTGCCTTTGCTAAAGTAACAAATGCGTTGTCACAGCTGTAGCTGATTCCATGCTTCCATTGGATGGCTTTGATCACAACCCTTCTGCAGCAAGGCTTCTGCCAGCACATCTGTGTCCATCACAGTTGTGCATCCCAGCATCACTGACCACAAGACATCCACAGAGTATCATACAAAGGGCTTTGCCCCCAAAGTGAGGCCATGGGCTCAGCCTGGGCCCTTCCTCTGGCTGCCAGAGATGAGGGAGAATCTGGTGTTACTCACTGTCATCCTCCAAAGCAAGGGCACTCACAGGGAGAGGGATGTGAGCAGGTGCAGAGAGAAAAAGAGGTTGTGCAAATATGCACTATGGAGCTGTGAGGCTCAGGTTAGTCATTACAGCTCTGTAGGCTGTGGATATTCCTTTCATAAGATTGAGCTCACAATAACAACAGGGCTATGCTCTTATCACCAGCTTTGATCCCAGGCTAGGCAGGGTTAGGTGAGAAAATGCAGATTAAAAGTTTTCTTGGGGATTGCAGCTGCAATGAAAAGGAAAGAAGCTACAGCCTAGAACAAAAGCCATACCTGGAAGCACAGCAGGAGCAGAGGAGAGCACAAATGAAGCAGCTCTCATGCTCATCAAAAGAGACTCCAGGAACCATCCCTCAGCACTCAGTTGAAAATCCTACCCCCCACCATCACCTGACACGTCCAGCACTGCCTCTGCCCACACAGCATTTCTGATGCCAGGGCCTTTTCCCATGCTGGGCACACAGCACAGCCAGCTCCTGGCCTTGCCAGGCCTGCCTCCACCTCTACCAACCACACAGGGGGTGCCTGATGTTCCCCAGGGCACCTTGCTGGCCACAGCCACCCTGCCCACATGGGGAGGCTTCAGCAGCAGCCCAGGGCAGCGCCAGCCCCTGGGGCTGCACCTGCCTCTCATGGAGCCAGATCCTCGAGAGCAGCACAGGGTGCCCAGGGCCACACATCCCCTCCAGACCTTGAGGAGGCTGCAGACTCCCCCACACACAGGGAAGGCTGTCAGAAGGGTTATCCAGTTCACAGAGCAGCAGCTGTGAACCCCACAGACTTTGCTCCTGCACGTGGTGACAGCACCATAAAGGCAGAGCCCCTGGGGACACGGGGAGAGCCGAGTGCCAGGGCAGAGCTGTGGGGCAGAGGCTGCCAGGGCTGTTTGCTGTCCCTGCTCAGCACAGCCCCTCAGCAAGGACAGGCCCCGCTGGGCTGAGCGCTCAGGGCCTGCGGGAGCCATGAACCCCGGGCCCAGCCTGTGCCCCATAAAGGCTGCCCCCACACCTCCCTGTGCCAGCCCACACCGGGGATGGGCCAGGCTGGGGCTCCCCGTCCACCGCAGGGGTACCCAGAGACCGCCCCCCACAACAGGGCAGGGATCTCGCTGGGGTCTCCATGGAAGCAGGCTGGGAATGATGGGTCAGGCTGGGGGGTTCCCCAGCCACAGCGGGGGCACCCAGAGCCCAGACCCCTCCCCAAAATGCAAAAGGGTGGCACGATCTCCCCACTGCAGGGGGCACGGCGTGGGGTCTGCACCAGGTCGGGGATGGGGCTCACATGGGGGCTCCCCATCCATTCCGGGGGACTCCAGAGACCACCCGTCTCCAGAGCGAGGGCCCAAGGGGGTCTCCATGGAACCGAGGGGAGGATGGGGGCCAGGCAAGTGTGCTCCCCAGGAATACCGGGGGGGGTGCAGAGACCACCGCCTCCCCCGCACTGCAGAGCAATTCGCATTGGACTGGAGCTGCAAGGGGTGGGGGTCAGGCTGGGGCTCCCCATCCATCCCGAGGGAGGCCACAGCCCAGATCACCCATAAGGGGCGAGGGTCGCACAGCGT